GAACTGCTAGGTTGGCAGGAGCTGGAACTAGAGACGGGAGGTCACTCCGTCATGCGGCACACTCGGGTCTCGAACTGCTGAACTACCGACCTTCCACAGCCTGCAGTTCAGCGTCTTAACCACTTGAGCCACCGCAGCTCCTTAATAACAATAAATAGATCAATAAATATATGCATCTAAAAACAGTCCTTCGGACGGTTCATAAACAATTCATGAAAACCAGCGTATAATATAGTAAAGTGCTAGCAGATGACATAGAATATCAAGATGGCCTCATACATTCTGTAATTTCACTTGATACCAGCTCGTTGGTCGGCGAGCACAGGCTCTCAGTAATAGCTTTGGTTGCTGCTAATAATGGTAGTGGTGGAGGCTCCCTAGTTGAAAGCCTGGTGGAAGAGCTCCGTCTTGCAGGCCCTGAGGATCTCCTCCGGGAGCTCATGCCACCAGTGTGGAGCCACCACCGAGAAAGCTCTGGCCCTGGTTGCCGTTAGCCTGGCGTCCTTGGGACCTGGGAGGCCCAATCGCTTTTGTGACCCTGACTGAAAACCAGCACCTTGAACTGGATTTAGCAGTAGAAAAAAGTAGTAGCACCTTAAGGAATAACAAAATTCGTAGTAGTGTATGCAGTAGGGCCGTGGTGGCTCAGAGGTTAAGAAGCTGAGCTGCAGACCGGAAGGTCTGTAGCTCAGCAGTTTGAGACCTGAGTGCTGCGTGACGGAGTGAGCGCCCATCTCTGGCCCCAGCTCCTGCCAACCTAACCGTTCGAAAGCAAGAAATTGCAAGTCGCTATATCGGTACCACTTTGGTGGGAAGGTAACAGTGTTCCGTGCACCTTGGTGTTTAGTCATACTGGCCACATGACCACAGAAACGTCTTCTGACAGCGCTGGCTCTTCGGCTTTGAAACGGAGATGAGCACCGCAACCCTAGAGTCAGATTTGACCGGCTTTCGAGCAAGGGAAACCTTTGCCTTTTTTAACGAGCTTTCTACTGTTGAAGAAGTGAGCAGTGACTCATGGAAGCTCATATACCCTGCCACAAATTTTGTTAGTCTTTAGGGAGCTAACTAGGCTCTTACTCTTTTCTTCTGCTACAGACAGACTAACACAATGACCCATCTTGGGCTTGGGAGCACATCGTTTGCCGTTGTCATTGTAACTGCTGTAGTATCAGGGTCACACATTCCCAGTAGCTGGCCCCAAACATGACTACAGGTCTGCTGTATCCTTCTTGTAAAACCTTATGGGAGAATCCGTCAACAGCTTATCAAACTACTGGTTCTTCACAAAGTTTGAGTCTACTGGCACCTTTAAGACCAACAAAGTTTTATTCAAAGCATAAGCTTTCATGTGCAAGCACACGTCTTCTGCTGCTTCAGACCAACACGGGTTCCCACTTCTATCTTTTGTTGTTGTTGTTCAGTCACACAGTCGAGTCCGACTTTTTGCGACCCCACGGACCAGATCACTTCTATCTACTGGTACTTAAAACAGACATTTTGGCCTAACTCAAAGAGGAGACGTTTTAGCTCTCTCCTCTGCATGTTCACTTGGAACCCATGTCTCGGTGAGTTCCACAGGTCTCACTTCCAAACGTCCGTGCACAGGACTGCCGAATGAGTCAACTTTACGGTAAAAGGGAAACTACTTTAAAGAGTTTTACAGAGAACGAGCCAAAATGAAGGAGGCTTGTTTCCTTGTGAAATATGAATACCCTTCGGGCAGAAATGAATTACTGCACAGAGTGGAGGATAATCAGAATAATTTCAGGGATAAGCGACGTCCTGCTTGACATGAGCAGAAACACTAAAGGGCGAAACGGGAGTGAGAAACATTATGCTCAAGGAGCAGAGGGGTGCACAAGGGAGAATTAACACAAGGCGAGGGCTTTTTGTGTAGAGATGTAAAATTTCCCGAAATTTTGAAGCTCGGAAAAAAACGGAAATTTTCGGAAAAATTGAAAAACTGCTACATTAGCATTTCTTTTGTCTTTTCTAGATTGAAAGTCATTCTGTTACTTTAGGGACATAAAATATGACTATGGACATTTTTACTTGGCATGAAATGATCACAACTAGCCTATTAAAAATATAGTGTATCCAAACAATTATTACAAACAGAATACCCACCCAGATGCAAAAACAAAACTGAAACCTTCTTCTTTTCTTGTGACAACAGGACCTCCTAAAGGAAGAAATGCATCTTGTTCTTACATTGGAGAGTTCAGTTTGTAACCTAGGACTTGCTTGTCCTCAGTGGACAGAAATTAAATCAATCTGATACCATACATATTTTTTTAGAAATGATTTGGGAAATATTTGAACACCTTGTCTTAAAATATTTTATTCATCATGTTAATATAAAACGTTTCATAATCAATTTTTTTTTGTTTTCTTTTTTCAATTTTTCGGAAAAAAACAAAAAAGCTTCAGGAAAAAACCGGAAAAAACCCAGTTTTTTTTCCAAATTTTCCCGTTTTTTTTCTGGGCCTTCACATCTCTATTTTTGTGCAGCCCTGAACACTGAACCACACACCCACCGAAGTGCGCAGGAGGCGTGCTGAACTCACCATTGATGTACAGCGCTAGAGGGGCTGTGGTTAGGAGCACCACTAGCGGCTGGCCTGAGAACAGAGCGTAGACGAGCCCCCCGATGCACTGCCCGACGATGGTCTTCTGCACATCTGAAAACAAATTGCAGGAGGGGAAGAGGTGGTCTTTATTTTTATATCTATAATTTTCATTGAAGAATTTAATAATATTACAAGGTAAGTACAATCGATGTCTCCAGATGACGTATAGAAATAGGTTAGGAAAAAACAATGCTTAACTATGTGCAGGCTGCAAGAGAACCATGTGCAGATGCAAGAGAACCAGGGGTCATTTCCAGCGGGAGCGCACAGGAGTGGAGCTCCGGCAGTAAGGAGCCCAGGAGGCGGGTACATGCAACGAGCCCCACCCAGAAAACCAGAGAGCTGTTCCTGTTGGCAGCAGAGGAGAGGACTTGCAATAACGGGTTTAAATTATGCCAAAACGATACCGCCTGGGTATTAGGGAAAACTTTTTGACTGACTGAGTTGTGCCACAGTGGAATCAGCTGCCTCAGGAGGTGGTGAGCTCCCCCTCTCTGGCAGTCTTAAGCGGCAGCTGGACCAGCGCTTGTCAGGGATGCTGTTAGAAGTGGTAGACAAAAGGATGTGGATAAAACGGAGCGGGTGCAGAAGAGAGTGATGAGGATGATCGGGGGCCTGGAGACCAAGCCCTACGAGGGAAGGCCGAGGGACTTAGGGATGTCCAATCTGGAGAAGAGGAGGTTCTCTCCTTCTTTGGAGGTTATCAAGCAGAGGCTCGATGGCCATCTGACAGCAATGCTGATTCTGTGAACTCGGGGAGATCACGAAAAGGGAGAGCAGGAAGGGTTGCCTCAGTGCTTAGTTCTCGTGGCCTTTTCTTACACACAAAGGGAAATGCTGATCGCCACTTTGGGGTCAGGAAGCAATTTTTCTACAGGCCAGTTTAGCCAGGGATTCTGGAGAGGCTTTTGCCATCTTCTGGGCATGGAACAGGGGCCACTGGGTGTGTATGTGGGGGAGGTATTCGTGAATTTCCTGCATTGTGGGGGGGTTGGGCTTGATGACCCTGGAGGCCCCTTCCAACTCTATGACTGCTCCCTAAAAGTATTTGAAAGGCAGTTAGAGAAAACCCAGGGAGCTGTTCCTGTTGGCAGCAGAGGAGAGGACTCACAAGAATGGGTTTAAATTATGCCAGAAAGGTACCGCCTGGGTATTAGGGAAAAACGTTCTACAGTAACAGTAGTTCAGCAGCGGAATCGGCTGCCTCGGGAACTGGTGAGCTCCCCCTCACTGGCAGCCTTCAAGCAGCTGCTGGAGGACGAACTATGGTCAGGGTAGCTTTAGGCTGATCCTGCATGGAGCGGGGGGGTTGGACTGGATGGCCTCTAGGGCGCCTTCTAACTCTCATGATTCTATGATCTACAAGTGACAGATCTCTTGAAGGACAGACATGCTCAGATTGCACCAAAGTAGTCTCAGAGCGGCTTACAAACTCCTTTCTCTTCCCCTCCCCACAACAGACACCCTGTGAGGTAGGTGGGGCTGAGAGAGCTCTTTCGAGGACTGCCCTTGAGAGGACAGCTCTGAGAGAACTTGTGACTGACCCAAGGTCACCCAGCTGGCTGCATGTGGAGGAGGAGTGGGGAATCAAACCCGGTTCTCCCAGATTAGAGTCTGCGCTCCTAACCACTACACCGAACTGGCTCTCAACTTGGACTTGGGGGCAGGGGAAGAAAACCATCCAAAGGGCAGCTTCCTCCAGTGGGGAGGGAACTCTACCCCCCCTCCTGTTTCTCACGCAGGGGGGACAGCACAGAAAAAAGGCCAGCATCCGGTCAAAGGGATTTCTTAAAAGGGAAACCGAAGAGAGACTTACCGATGGCTCCCCGCGTGTTTTCGTCATTTAGGGAGCCGAAAGCGATGGAGGGCAGCAGGCAGGCGAAGTACAGAAAGATCATGGTGGTGATGTATTTGCCTATGGCTTTGTTGGTGCCAATAATGCCTAGAACGAAAACCGCGCCAGAGAGAGCCAAGGTGAAAACTCTGAGGACTGAGACTGGGCTTCAGAACAGAGGAGGGCCCGTGAAGCCCCGCGGATCCCCTGGAAAAAGTGAGGTCGTTCTGTACCCAGGAGCCGCTTCCCGTCCATCTGTCATGACGGACTTTCCCTCCGTTTTACTCTCCTCCCTCTCCCCCAGAGGTTCCGCAGCCTCTCATTGGCTGATGCTGCTTAGGATCCGTGTCGGATCTGCAGGGATTGGCTGGGACGTCTGGCGGGTGGAGCTAGAGGCCGTCCATCACAGCCCCACCGAATCACCGATATCTGCCTA